GATAGGATTGAGACTAGCATTGTAGAAGAGTATGTGTAAAGGAGAGCACGGGATCAAGGCACCTACGGTTAGGAGAGGTTCTTGTAGAAAGGGTGCCATCAAAGGTGTTGCTTGATGGAGGTATAGCTCTTGCCAAGCAGATATGACTGGAAAGTCACAATAAGCCAGAATGAAAAACTGAAGACTAACTATTAGTAAAGGTAACAGAAGTATATGAACAGAACGTATAACAACACAGAGTAGCAGTGCCACAAATGGCAGGTCTGAACTGCTACTGATCTGAAGGGGGGAAAAGTTCACTTATGTCATGGAAGTGAGCATAGGGCCAGAGAGAAGGCTTCTGATGGTTAGTCTCAGGTTTCAACAGGAGCCTGTTGGTGTGTATGGTACCTGTGTCTTCCCAAGGAAGGGTATTGAGTAGCGGAGGAATTGGGTAAAGTGGATGGCATGCTATACTCATGTTACGGGTATCCAGAATAATTCCCCAGGAGTGGAGTAGTTTCAGGCCACTGTTGAGGGTAGAGATAACGTGGGAGGCTGGGTTGTGGATGATGAGAAGGGTCACCGGATACTTCCATCTATATGAGATCTTGTGTTTTTGCAGTGCCTTTATTATCATACTCTATTGCCTTCTAAGCTGAAGGGTGAATTTGGAGATGTCGGCATGAAGTTGAACTTCTTCAGATGGAACAGGGAGAGAACGCAGGGTTCTGGCCTTGTGGAGCAATTGCTGTTTTGTCTGGAAAAAGTAAATCCTTATAAGTACATCTCTGGGCACAGAGTCAGCCAGGTGTGGTGACTTTGCAATTCAGTGGATGTGGTCAGCCGTAAGCTCTATGGGAGAGGCGTCTCGTAGAATGTCAGACATCAAGTTGTGTGCATAAGAGTGGCGTTAATGCGGGGGGGATGGACACTTGGATCCCCTGCAGCTTGACATTGTGTCAGGATCTGTCTTCAAAATCCTCTAGTTTGGTTAAGATCCACGTGATCCTCTTTTGATTCCTCATAGTCATCCACTAAGTCATTAATGATGTCAGTGCATCCCCCTATCTTATGCTCAATGTTTTGTGCTTTGTCCCCCATAACATGTAGATCAGTGGATAATTTATTCATGAGGGTAGTGAGATCAGTGAACAGAGATGTGTGCAGGGAGAGAAGCAGCTCTTTCATAGTGGTGTCTAAGACAAGTTGTCCAGATGTAGGAAAAGCTGCAATCGAGGATTGTGGGTTAGCATTGAATGCAGGGGGTTGAGTCTGGAGGATGGTGATGGTGTTTCCATCCTCACGCAGCTCTTCACTAAGCTACTGGTCTCAGGGATGGTTGGTGTAGTTTTTGGAGACAGAGGAGTTACCAGCTTATTGAGATATCCCTGCTGTGCATCAGGGAGATCTGTGTAGGACGCCAAGGCGTGGGGAGCTAAGATGCAGCGCCATCTTGGACCTTGCTTCTCTTAGGAGATCGCTGGACGAAGAAGGCCATGAGCTTCTGGAGCCAGTGTACTTCTTTTCTCTTCCTCGATATGGTTCTGGGGGTTGTGTGGGAGGACAGGGGGTGGATGTGCAGGCTGTGAAGAGCGGAAAGCCGCTATAATCAGTTTTGGTTCTCTCTCCATTCTGCAGAGCTCTGAGCTTAAGCATCCATCTTGAGCACTGGCAAGCCATGCCCCTGTCTGTAGGTCAGTTTTAACCTGTCATTAAAGTACAACTAAATGCTCTTGCATGACAGATACCAAATTCACTCACTATGTGATGCACAAGTCTCATACAATAAGCTAAAGCTTCCTTTACCCTCCCTGACTGAGCCAAATCCTTCATCATTCATTCCCTTCCAGATGCTGAAGCTTGCTATGGGAAGCTCTGTATATCCAGAAAAAAAGTAGACAGGACTAGGTGTGAACAGGTGCTGATTGACAATCTACAGACTTTTGAATTAGCAGTGACAATGATGATAGCCAAGTCCCCTGTAAAGGGGAGGATAACCAGTGTACCTGAGAATTGGGAGTCAACACACATAAATACTGAAATGTTGTTTATATTATATTGTGGAAATGAAATGGTCACAGAAATAAAGCAGTCTACAGCAATGCAGAGTTCCTGGCGTAATGGAGAGTAATATTTATAAAAAAAAACACTTTCTGCTAGTAGTATATGCACTTACAGACCACAGAATGTCCATGGAGCACTTGATGGGACAATGGCTGCTGGTGGAAGATTGTTCTACTAAGATGGCAGAAGAGACACCCTGTTAGGGAAAGCCTACTCTTTCCCTCCTCATCAGGCACCTCTCCCTATCACTGTTCCAACTCTGTCCCTAACCAGCAGAGCTATATTCCTAACCTACTCCCACACGATACAGGATCTCCTATTTATGGACTTCTGTGTCAAGATGACATCCTCCCCAAGATAGCCGCCTTGAACAGTAGTATTTGCATTGGCAGAACAGAGTAGGACTGGCCAAAAAGGAATACTTTGGCACAGTTGGCCAGCTTAAACATGTATTACAATATGTGTGAACTAAAAATCCCTATTTTTTATCGTAAAGTTTGCTGGAATGGGTATATAGCAGTGTGCAGAGGGTTCTTTCAGAATTTCTGTGTTAATATGCGGTTACACCCCTTTAGCACCTGATAGATAAATGAATGTATAGGCTATTGGCAATTGAGCACAAGTACTGTATATGTTGCATTGTGGGTCAATAGCCAGACCTAAACCTAATAGCTCTCCCCCACTTTGTGTCTGTTTGCTCCATATTTGCATTGTGTCCACAGCAGCATTTGCGTTGGCAGAGCAGAGTAGGACTGGCCAAAAGGGATTACTTTGACACAGTTGGCCAACTTAAATATGTATTGCAATATGTGTGCACTTAAAATCCCTGGAAAGTTTGCTGGAAAGGGTATATAGCAGTGTGCAGAGGGTGTGCAGAGGGTTCCTTCAGAACCTCTAGTGGAACCAAAAACAGGGAACAAATTAGAGCTCAATGGGCTTTTTCCAGCCTGGAGAAATTGCCCAGTGTCACCTTCAGGTCAGTGGATATGCTGCAGATCAACATCTGCAACATCTCCTAATCACACTGTAGTGCATTTAAGCACAGCCTACAAACAGTAAAAGAGGCAACTCCACTCTGTATTCAGAAGCTTTGCAGCATCATTGCCACATCATCACGGGAAGCTGTATTAGGTAGACTTCACTGGCAGGATCAACAGGTATCTGTGGGAAGACTAAAAGAAAACTGTAAGTGCAGGTACACTTACAACTAATTTATGCAGAACATGTTTTTTTGGAGTAAATTGTCTGAGGAGCACAGGTGTCATGGAACAGACGTACCAGTCCCGATGCATCATTGTCACGGAGAGGAGCACAGGCCATGAAGGCCAGTGTCACGCGGCCTGTGTCACTGTGTCACTTGTGTGTATGAGGCAGGGGGTGGGGAGGCGCAGAGCTGTGGGAGCGGGTTAAAGGAGAAGAGGGCTGTGACTTTGAAGGGCAAGTTAGGGTATGTGGGGCTTTGAGGAAGTAGGAGGGGCAGTTCAGGGGAGGAGCGAAGCTGACAAGGACAGAGCTGAGCCCCTGGCCGGAAGTGTTCCCTGTGCAGCTCTCAGTGACACCATGGTGGTGTGAAATCAAGCCTCCCGCTCCGAGTTTCTGGAGCTCCTCATGCAGGATCATTGGTGCGGGTCCAGGCCGAGCTGTCTGGGGAGACTCTCAGCCTCACCTCGGAGCAGGAACTGGTGGCACTTACTGGGCTCAGCAATGACCCCGAGCCAGACACCCCCTGCAGGGGACACCCGGTGCTCCAGTTCACCCCACACAGGCTCCAACTATGACTCCAATCAGGTATGGGCAGCCTGGGGAACTGCTAACCCCTGGAAATCCTGGAGCCAGTTCAGAGGGTCCAGGTGGTGAAGGAATGCAGTGGGTTGGGGATCAGTAAAAAAGGGGAACAGGATGTCGGTCCTCATAGCTACGTAGTTAGTCTGGCTGAAAAAAAGTCCTTCTAGTTCAATCATAAAAGGGAAAAAAAAAAATATATCCTATATACAAAGTTGATCCAAAGGCAGGCAAAAAAAACACAGCAAAGCATGATCCAATATGCTCCTGCAAGAGGAAAAAATTTCCTTCCTGATCCCCCGAGAGGCAATCGGATATTCCCTGGATCAACTTTACCTATAAATGTTAGTATCCAGTTATGTTATGTGTATCTAGGAAAGAATCCAGGCCTTTTTTAAAGCAATCTACTGAGCTGGGCATAACCAGCTCTTGAGGGAGTCTATTCCACATTTTCACAGCTCTTACTGAGAAGAAACCTTTTCATATTTGGAAATTATATCACTTTTCCTCCAGACGTAAAGAGTGCCCCCTGTGCTCTGTGATGACCTTAAGGTGAATAACTCTACACCGAGTTCACTATATACACTACTACAAGTGCTAAATGTCCACAGGTTAGGGGGGGGGAATTATTTGCCTTGGACTGGGCACTTACAACCCATGTTATGCCACTGTTGTCTGCTATATTCAGGTACCGTATTTTTCGCTCCATAAGACGCACTTTTTTCCCCCAAAAAAAGGGGGGGAAATGTCAGTGCGTCTTATGGAGCGAATATAAAGCGGCCGGTCCGGTATTTTTGCGGCCACCATGTCAGAATACCGGGCCGGCCGCTCAGCTGTTCTCTCCTGTAGGGCCTTACCTGTTCCTCACTCCAGCGCTGCACAGTCTTCCCGCGCTGGCTTCTGTGACAGCAGGGTGCCCACTGCGCATGTGCTGCGCTTTGTGAATGGTCCGGTGTTTTCTGGGACACATGACAGGTCCCAGAAGGCGCCGGGCCATTCACAAAGCGCACTGCTTCTCGCACATGCGCAGTGGGCACCCGGCTGTCACAGAAGCCAGCCCAGGAAGAAGAGGGAAGGACAACTCCGCGGGAGGGGGAGCGGGTACCTGTCAAATTCAGGTACCCGCTCCCCCTCCCTCCCCAAAGGTCAGCAGTCTCTGGTCATTCCCTTCACTGTCTGCAGTCTCTGGCCATTCACTTCACTGTTTGCAGTCTCTGGTCATCCCCTGTACTGTCTGCAGTCTCTGCTCATTCCCTGCACTGTCCGCAGTCTCTGCTCATTACTTGTACTGTCCGCAGTCTCTGCTCATTCCCTGCACTGTCCGCAGTCTCTGGTCATTCCCTGCACTGTCCGCAGTCTCTGGTCATCTCCTGCACTCTGTCCGCAGTCTCTGGTCATCTCCTGCACTGTGTCCGCAGTCTCTGGTCATCCCCTGCACTGTGTCCGCAGTCTCTGGTCATCCTCTGCACTGTGTCCGCAGTCTCTGGTCATCCCCTGCACTGTGTCCTCAGTCTCTGGTCATCTCCTGCACTGTGTCCACAGTCTCTGGTCATCTCCTGCACTGTGTCCGCAGTCTCTGGTCATCTCCTGCACTATGTCCGCAGTCTCTGGTCATCTCCTGCACTGTGTCCGCAGTCTCTGGTCATCTCCTGTACTGTGTCCGCAGTCTCTGGTCATCTCCTGTACTGTGTCTGCAGTCTCTGGTCATCTCCTGCACTGTGTCGCAGTCTCTGGTCATCTTCTGTACTGTGTCCGCAGTCTCTGGTCATCTCCTGTACTGTGTCCGCAGTCTCTGGTCATTCCTGTACTGTGTCCGCAGTCTCTGGTCATCTCCTGCACTGTGTCCGCAGTCTCTGGTCATCTTCTGTACCGTGTCCGCAGTCTCTGGTCATCTCCTGTACTGTGTCCGCAGTCTCTGGTTATCCACTGTACTGTGTCTGCAGTCCATTGGTTCATCTCCTGTACTTTCACCAGTCTAAAACCTAGGTCTTATGGTCAGGTGCGTCTTATGGAGCGAAAAATACGGTAATCAGTCCCAATGACATAACCATTGCATTTCTTTGCATGTGCAGCACTTCTACATAAATCACTTATGATGCCTGTGATGTGACCTCTGTGAAGATTCCTAGTAAAAGCAACACACTTTTAACAACACCATTGAGCATGGTTGCCATGGTTGCAAGTAGAGATTACTGACATTTTGGCAGTTTTGGGCATCACTACTTACCCTTTTAATTATTTTAATTTTTTTTTTTAAATAATAATAATATTTTTTTTTTCACAATGATTTTGATGATGGTGTCAGTGGAGCAGTGGATGTTGCCAGTAAGTTTTTTACTTTTATTATTTTATTTTTTTATTTTTCATAATTTTGTTTTGAGCCACAGAAAGGGAAACATTCCCCAGTCCCTTTCTCTGCAGCCTCAGCAGCACTGCAGATTCATCAACAGGAGACATTATTCATAAACTGAAGCATCGTAAACAAAGTTTACTATGTTTCTATCACTCTTTTGTTTACTAAAAATGGAAAATGCTAAATCTGGTGCAACTCTGCATAGGACCCAATCAGCTTCCAGGTTTTATTGCCAAGCTTAATTGAACAAGCTGAAGTTAGAAGTGGATTGGCTACCATGCACAGCTGCACCCGATTCTGAGTGCACCAGTTTTAGCAAATCTCCCCAACTGTGGGGGAAGGGGCTGGTAAATGACATACAGGTGAAACTCAAAATATTAGAATATCGTGCAAAAGTTCATTTATTTCCGTAATGCAACTTAAAAGGTGAAACTAATATATGAGATAGACTCATTACATGCAAAGCAAGATAGTTCAAGATGTGATTTGTCATAATTGTGATGATTATGGCTTACAGCTCATGAAAACCCCAAATCTACAATCTCAGAAAATTAGAATATTACATGCAATCAACAAAACAGGGATTGTACATAGAACAATATCGGACCTCTGAAAAGTATCAGCATGCATATGTACTCAGTACTTGGTTTGGGCCCCTTTTGCAGCAATTACTGCCCCAATGCGGCGTGGCATAGACACTATCAGCCTGTGGCACTGCTGAGGTGTTATGGAAGACAAGGATGCTTCAATAGCGGCCTTCAGCTCTTCTGCATTGTTTGGTCTCATGTCTCTCATCTTTCTTTTGGCAATGCCCTATAGATTCTCTATGGGGTTCAGGTCAGGCGAGTTTGCTGGCCAATCAAGCACAGTAATCCCACGGTCATTGAACCAGGTTTTGGTGCTTTTGGCAGTGTGGGCAGGTGCCAAGTCCTGCTGGAAAATAAAGTCAGCATCCCCATAAAGCTTGCCTGCGGAAGGAAGCATGAAGTGCTCCAAAATTTCCTGGTAGACGGCTGCGTTGACCCTGGACTTAATGAAGCACAGTGGACCAACACCAGCAGATGACATGGCTCCCCAAATCAACACAGACTGTGGAGACTTCACACTAGACTTCAAGCATCTTGCAGTGTGTGCCTCTCCATTCTTCCTCCATACTCTGGGTCCTTGGTTTCCAAATGAGATGCAAAAGTTGCTCTCATCAGAAAAGAGGACTTTGGACCACTGATCAACAGACCAGGTCTGGTTTTCTTTAGCTCAGGTCAGATGCTTCTGACGTTGTTTGTTGTTCAGGAGTGGCTTGAAAAGAGGAATATGACATTTGAAGCCCATGTCCAGGATCCGTCTGTGTGTGGTGGCTCTTGATGTACTGACTCCAGCCTCAGTTCACTCCTTGTGAAAGTCCCCAACACTTTTGAATGGCCTTTTCCTGACAATCCTCTCCAGGCTGCGGTCATCCCTACTGCTTGTGCACCTTTTTCTTCCACACTTTTCCCTTCCACATAACTTTCTATTAATGTGCTTTGATACAGCACTTTGGGAACATCCAACTTCTTTTGCAATTACCTTTTGAGGCTTCCCTCCTGATGAAGGGTGTCAATGATGGTTTTCTGCACAACTGTCAGATCAGCAGTCTTTCCCATGATTGTGATTCCTATTGAACCAAACTGAGAGACCATTTAAAGGCTCAGGAACCCTTTGCAAGTGTTATGGCTTAATTAGCTGATTAGAGTGGGACACTTTGAGCCTAGAATATTGCACCTTTTCACAATATTCTAATTTTCTGAGATTGTGGATTTGGGGTTTTCATGAGCTGTAAGCCATAATCATCACAATTATGACAAATCACGGCTTGAACTATCTTGCTTTGCATGTAATGAGTCTATCTCATATATTAGTTTCACCTTTTAAGTTGCATTACTGAAATAAATGAACTTTTGCACGATATTCTAATTTTTGGAGTTTCACCTGTACGGTATATACTAGCCCATTCCCCCACTCTCCATCCTGTGGGAGAGGAAAGCCAGCAGCACTGCAGGGGATGGGGGGAGGTTAGGGGGAGCACACAGGGGAGCTCAGAATCCCCCGGGGATTGGTGCTGCAGGGTGGGACCAATCACAATAACTTGTCTCACTTCATGGCTCTCCATGAAGCCTCCGAAAGCCATGGGAGGGAGGGAGGGAGAGGAGGAGAAGCTGGCTTTCAGCTGCTGCACAGAGGACCATACAGGAATTCTTGTAATCGCCCCTACCCTGCCGCCGCTATCCCACCACACCAATCACCCCCTCCTATTCATCAAAGAACCCCTGTTGTGGGTGTTTGCTGTATGCTTTGACTGAGTTCACCTGCTGAACCATGCAAAAAGCTGCAGCAGTGTTGACGTTTTCTGCACCACAGGTGACTGGGAAGTGTAAAAAGGGCCCATAGGAGACCATTCGTTTCTGTGTGCTCTTGCAGAGAGCTGCGTTTTTCTTATGCAGAAAAATGCAGCTCTCTTCTATAGTGTGAACTGGCACTTATTGACCACACTGCTTGTAACACAATCTGTGAATCAGGGAGAGTCTGACCAGTCATAGAATTCCCTCCTCCATTCACAGATCATTGCATGCTGTGTAATCAATAAAATAATGTTTCTCAGTGCAGGAGGAAGGAGGGGGTGGACTCCCGTCAACCATCTGTACTGCTGTTCCACCTCAAACTGTTAACCGTTTTCAAAATTGAAGGGAAAGGCATCCCTGCAGTGAAGATTTCTCCAAGATCCAGATTGGTGTCTAATGTGGGACATACTTCATTACAAGTAAGTGATGTGACTAAAACTGTAGAGATGTCTTCTAGCTAAACTTCAACTTTAATAATAATAACAAATAATAATAAATTAAAAAAGAAAATAAAGGCAATCTCATAACAGGACAGTTGCATAGATAGCTTAAACCAGGATCAAGCAACTACCGTACCATTGCTAGTCAGTGGCCTATTCCTTGGTGGTATGACATCTTCAAAGATTCTAAGCTTGGCCATAGATGAGTAGTTTTTTTCATTGAGCCAGTGGGCTGTATGAAAAACAATTAGCAGGTTCCTCCATTTCCACAAACGGAGTGGATGAATGGAAGGAACATTCCCCCCAGGACATTGTATTCTGGCAGCTGGACCTGCCACTATCAGAATGCACTGATCAGAAGCTTCAGCCAATTAGCTGCAGCTGCTGATCAGAACAGTTTTTCCAACTTGTCCGTCAGATTGACTTTTGCCAGACAGGGATGACCACACATTGATCAAAATCTGGCCATCCCTTCTGAACTGGCCGAATTTTGATATTGTCTCGTACCTGGATAGTGAGCCTGACGTGAAAACGCAGGCCTCCCGTACAGCTCCGACTCGAGGGCTACTGATAATGGGACAGCGGCCACAGGAGCACGGCAAGGTATGAGTGCCTGTGATCAGTCCAGTAGGTGGTGTTCCAGCAGTAGCCGGTAGGTAGTTGAAGCCGCAGGGCAGGCTGATGGGGAGAGGAGGATCCGGGTGCAGCCATGCTGGATAGATGTATCACTGGGGAGTGAGGTGGAGGATGCAGGGTCAGACGAGCTGGGTTGGTAGCAGAAGGGCAGATCAGGCATAGACGGCAGGAGGTAGCGTAGCTGGGTCACAGGCCAGATCAGCAGCAGAGAATCAATCAGACAGGAGGAGGAGACAGAAGAGTAATCCAAGACAAGCCAAAGGTCAGGGCAGGTAGCAATCAAGCGGAGGTCAGGAACAGGCTGGTTCGGTATCAGAAGTCAAGCACAAGGATAAGGAAACACATGCAGGGATTAAGACCAAACGGCAATAAGACATTACTGCAGCCAGTTTAAATAGTCCTTTTGGCACCAGCATTAGTGACAGGCGCGCACCTGGATGCACGAGTGCACATGCACATGTACGCACAAGTGCACTCGCCTATGCCTAAGTACCTGCACATCTGCCCGGTTAGTCATTGTTCTGCACATGCCGCAAATCTTCACCTGTACTATGGGCAAGCCTTTCCTGACAGATACGTCTTTGGCTAGCTTAACTTGTTCCAAAGTTGCTTCTAGCTAGAGCAGCTGGATGGATATAATTTTTTTTCACATCAATATATAGACACACACGCACACAAGCATACACACTTGCCCATAAATTTATACCGCTTTCTAAAATATGTACATACTTTTCATTTGGTATTCTGTCTTTTAGTCTGAGTTTTTTGGAATATCATGTTATGCAAAATCCCAGTTATATTCACAATGGATTCCTTTGAGAATTCCTCTTTTTAGACTAGTTTTTAAACTTTTTCTTCCTTGCTATGTAAAATGTTATGCTAAGAAGAAAGAAGGAGAGGTGTGACAGGTGTATGCTGTTCCCATCTAGAGAGAACTCTGGGGAATATATTTCACTATCTGTCTAATATTGTAAACCAGTGTCAATCAATCACCGTATCT